CTCGCCCTTTGTGCTGCTTCTTTGCACTGTTTGTTTGGCTTGTAATTTTCGGAAACTACTATCCCCAGGTCCTTTGTTTTGGCTACGAGCTTTAGTTTGGTGGTTTTCGAATCCGTGCTTACACTAATTAAACCGCCGTTAGTGTTCAATATGTGGCACTTCGACAGGTTTAGGTCTAGGTCCCATATCTGAGTCCAACAGATAACCTTTGTTAGGTCTTCCTGTGGTTGATCTTGTGGGCCTGAGTTAACTAACTTTACGTCGTCAGCAAACACGAATGTCAGGATGAACAAACCCCTAACTAAGTCATCGACATACAGCAGTAAAAGCTTTGGGCATAAGACTGAGCCCTGTGGCACTCCACTGATGAATTTCCCCTCCGTCGATAGTGCCTCTCCTATCCAAACCCTGAAGGTCCGCCTGTTCAGAAACGCCCCTATCCTTTTGAGCAGAGTCCCAGGAAGGCCAAATTCGTCGAATGTTTTAAGGAGTAATCGGTGATTAACCGAATCAAAAGCCTTTCTAAAGTCTAAGTAACAAACTTCTTTGGAATTCGTCCAACTTCCTTGTGGCTTCATCTAGGAAGCACAACAGGATGCTGAGACATGACCTGTTTTTGAGGAACCCATCCTGGGTTGGGGGTAGTAAATCGTATAGCGCAATATACTCACATAGAGCGTTCCTAACGATTGCTTCAACTCCTTTACAGAGGATACTAGGGAGATTAACTGGTTCATAGTTCTCTGGTACCCTTCGATCACCTCACTTGTGTATTGCCACAACTGTTGCCGTCCTTCAGTCTTTCGTTATCTCACCCAGTCTTAGGGATTTCTCGCGTATTGCACAAACGGGAGCTGCCAAAATCTCTGCGAGCGGCTTGAAGATGGCCGGATGAAGTCCATCACTTCCCGCTGATTTGTCAGATTTGAATTCAGTGAGTATCTTCAGAAATTGAGCTCTGTCTGTCTGTAGATCGCTCATTGGGAGGATTAATGCTCCTGAGTTTCCGTTCAACCTTATCTTGTGAGAAAAGGATGGATCCTAGGGATGAATTTGTATCTAGCGGCTGCAGCATGGAGTGATTGAGCACTGGAGAGAAGTTAAATGTTTTCTGGAAGTGTAATCGAAAGGTATCCTCCACCTCTGTTGGAGATGAGGCAATTGATCCGTCTGGGTTATTAAGAGCTATGGGGCAGAAAGAGAGCTTACGCAAGCAACGGATATATTTAAAGAAGGAAAACTTATTGTTTCGAGCATTGGTAACAATAGCTCTCTGGATGTACCTCTGGTACTTCAGAATTTTGTGTCCGCACAGGTTTCTAACTTGTTTAAAAGCACCTCCGTCGCAATGAGGCGTGTATTTATGTATTTCGCAAAAAGCTTAGCCCTTGTATCTGACTGCCGGCGAATTGGGCGAGCGAGAAGGGGTTTAGCATTAGACGCAATTCGAATTCGGGGAACAAACTGAGAGTTTGCGAGAGAGATGGCCTACTCTATGTGCTAGGCGAGGTCCCCAACAGACGTCGCAGAAGGACAGATGTGTAGTTCCAGAAGTCGGTGTACAGTCTCGAAGTTTGTTCTTTTGAATGAAGTAATGTTTTGAATGTTATTGCTTAATAGATTCCAGGTTACCATGTAGTCGGAAGTTAGCGAAACATGGTCACTTTTTTCAAGAAGGGAAGCTGGTTAATGACATCAATTTGGTGTCTTTCACTAGTGATGGCTAGGTCCAGTAAAGATGGTGTATGTCCTTGTCGGAATCTGGTTGGAAAAGACACGTGCTGCGTCCAGGATTTCTCGACTAGAAGGTCAGTATGAGGGCGACCGAAGGTGACGTCTCGCAAGAATGTCTTTGCCAATCGATGCTTGGGTAACTGAAATCACCTATCATGAGAAGGTGAGAATGTTTGCAACTTTCCGTGATAGACCTAAACTGGTCTACCAGGAGCTGATTCTCTAGTAGATTGGGTTGTGGAAGGTGATAGACTAGGCACATTAGGAAGTTGATCGTCCTGGAGATCTGAAAACAGATCCACCGACTATCCGTGCCAGGGAGAGGATCAGTGTTTAGGAAAATNAGGAAAATTGGAGGGAGGAGATGGTGTTTTTAAAAAAATGACCCCAACTGATCTTCCGCGGGTGAAGTCTTTTCTAATAAGGGAGCAGCCCGTTATGGTTACTTTGCCATCGGCAAAGTCCCCGGTGAGCAAGGTTTCTGTCAGCATTAAAACGTCTGGGTTACTGTCTAGTACAAGCTGTAAAGGCAATTCGAATAACGTTCAATACGAATCGCAATTTCTCAACTTTGACTGACCAAATTTCCAGCACGTAGGAAAACAGTTGAGCGACAGCTGAAATTTTGTTTATATTATAGGCATACATCAATACATACTTGCGNCTTGCGACTTACGAAATCATCGTAGGTCCCAGTTACGAACTACAAACAATAGAGCAAATCACAAAGCGAGACTGAAAAGATACCGAGCCGGATAATAAGGAGGCCTGTTAAAACAGCTATTAATTTTTGAGTTCCTAAAAGGGAAAGAAGAGTTAAGAAAAGGAAGATAATGGAACTAGAAAAGTATTGTGTACAAAAGCTTTCGAAAACCGTCACACAAGCTACCTTAATTCTAGAATCTTATTGGGAAGTCCGAGGCAGTTGCAATGAAAGTATTCACAAATTTGCTCATCATGAGGTGAAGAGAGTGGAGAAAGAGTTGGAGGCCTTTGGTGGGTTGGATTGGTGGGGAGATAAGGTGGGGAGATAAGGTGGGGAGGGGGAACCGGCAGTGCAGCCGGTCGGAGTTGCCGTTGGACATCTACGTGCAGGAAGAACGGAGGTTTAACGGATAGGCGGACTTGATTTGGCCGCCTTTCTGTGGGGCGACCGTACGGAGCCCGATCCGAAAACTTTGTTTCTATTGGGAGTGGATACGGTATTTGGGAGGAAGGAAATCGCTGTAGAAAACGTGGTAGTCTTCGGGAGATTTGGAAGGGTAGTCTTGAGTTTCTGGGCAGTGGCCACGGGTAGCTGAGGACCCTTTTCCCCTCGACAATGTGACTTTTTAGGACGACGGAATCGCTAAGCAGGCCTTTGTTCTACTAGTTACACTGGTGGTCTTTACCAAATGTTGACTACTCTGTTGCTAAAGAACTGTGACCAGGGCGATCGATCAATACTGGGCCTTGGCTAGCGTCATTTTGTCCCCTTGTACGATATTCTTGCGCTTCCCAGAATAGGGATTTTGCTCTGATACCAGGTAAACATTTCATTGTATTAAAGGTTTTCACCATATCTCTCCTGAGCCTTCTCTTTTATAAAGGGAATAGTCCCAGGTCCTGAAGTCTGCTTGTAGTCTTTACCCGCCGCCTCTCAACCATTCTCGTTGTCAGCCGTTAAACCAGCTGTAAACAGGCGGCATCCTTTTTGAAGAAGGATAACCATGCCTGGACACAATACTCTAGGCGGGACCATACTATGGCCTTATTCAGAGGTATGAACACCTCAAATTTACGGCACGACAACGCTTACCTTGGTTTTAATAATTCACTTCTAGCTTTCTGTGATTCGATCATCTTAGGTCAGCGGTTACCATGATTCCTAGGTCTTTTACATTTTCCGCTGACTCTATATTGAAGGGACCTACCTCGGGGTCAATTTAGATACCCTCTACGGCTCGTGACAGCCGTTGGCATTTGCCATCATTTATTGGCATGTCCCACTTGAGGGCCTAGCTTAGGACTGCAGGACTGTCCCTGTCCAGATCCTCTCGCTCCTCTGATCCTACGACATTCACATCGTCCGCGAAGAAAAAGCTAGGTGACTGGAGCGTTACTGCTAGATCATTTATAAACAGAATTATAATCGAATAAGATTGGTCCCAGTACCGGTCCCTGAGGTACTCCTCTAGTGGTTCCTCAGGGTGGTACTGGTACTACCTACTCTTACGTAGGAAGATCGCTCACTTACGAAGTCAGATATCCAACTATATATTTGCCCCTCTATGCCAACGGTTTCCAACTTGATCAATGATAGGCGATTATTCACAGAGTCGAAGGCTTTACTGAAATCAAGGTAGCATACCTCTAAACTTTGACCTTCATCCAACCTGCGAGTTAGTTTATCTATAAAGCACAAGAGATTGGTGAGGCACCACCTGTTTTTCAGAAATCCATGCTGATCAAGCCACGGCAT